TACATGCACAGGACAAGATCCACACATGCACAGAACAATTCACACAAGCACCCAAAAATCCACACACACACACACACAATACTAGATCCACACACCCCCAGCACGATTCAAAAAACCACACAAGATCAGCATGCACAGAACAAGATTCACCAAATTATTTCAGGCCCAGAAACAATTATAAATGAAATAACAAAATACCAGTGGTCTTTGCATTCATCAATGCATTTGTGTGTGGATTTTTGAGACTGCCCTGAAATGCCTTGATACACAAAATCCTTTTTTAAGCAGGAATGGTTTGCTACCAATCATAAAACTCCTGTATAAGCAAAACACAAGAAAGTACTCCACGTGGGATGACCCCCCAGATCCCACTTCCTCTGTATCCGCCCCGCTCCTTTCCAGACCGCCTGCGCAAAGCAAAGCCTACGTCCTCCTACATCCACTCCGACTTCCTTGGAGCTCGAGGAGAGCATGTGCTATATTATTTCTTACATAGGAGAAAAACATGCGGTAATGAGCGCTTAATTTAATAAAGAAATTATTAAATCTTACTATCTGCATCAATCATACCTGCTTCTGCCCAAACATTTGTATTGTGCGTGTCTGGATCTTGTACTATATTTATTATATGTTTCATGTTGCACGATTGTACCATAAAAAATTCATAGTTGTGAACTCCTTCACTAAAAATTGCAATAAACCCGATTCTGATTCTGATGAGTCACAAATGTGTATTTGTTAAAATTGAGACCGATCGAGCTCCATATGTTTGCGCAGCTATGTCTTTGTCTAAATACATCAGCGCCTTTTATTTTTAGGATTTTCGGCACAAAATTGCACAAATTCCCAAGGCAGAGCGTTTCACTTTAGTGAGCTTCATATTCCTCTTCTATTTGTTTGGCTTCCGTATAGACGAGTCCGAGTAGCGCCATCTCACAGCGGAGCTGAGTCCGACGTGGTTATTTAGATGTGCAGTGTGAGCAGGTAGATCGCATCAGAGGGTTGGGCTGCACAGTGTGAGAACACATCGTGAGCTGTGAACTGTATGAGGAAACCGCAGGTTTTCGTCGTACAGTGTGAGCTGTAGCTGCATCCAACAATTGAATATATAACACAGCGTATGCCCGGTTTAAACCACCCCATTGAAGCTCTGGCTCTATGTTCAGTATCTGGACAGTTTAGCTCCACCCCTTTTCTTTTTTTTTTTTACCTGCCAACCAAGTTGTTGACAGTTTTTCCTGCGATTACTTCCCTCTATATTTATATCAATTCCGACCAGTTTGTGTGTCTGCTGAAGGAAGGCTTTCCCACAACATGATCCTGCCTCCTCCGTGTTCTCATCTGGCACATTACTTTCTCAAAGTGTAAAGTGTTAATATATCCTATTGCTTTCTTATAAGATGGTTAAATTTCCTCTTAAGCATGGTTTGTGATGTGTGGTTAGTTTGCTGTTTACTTTTTTATTTTAGATCAGGAGAAAATATCGTTCATTTTCCCTTTTTTTGCTCAGAAGCGATTAATTATTTTAGGTTAGATCCTCCAACAATATTATATATATTTATGTTTCTTTGGGTCCCAGTTAATCCTCACATTTCCAAACTCTGGAAATAGATCTGTTACTTTCATTAATCTTGTGGCTTTCACCCAAACCACACCTATGGATGGCTACTTCATTTTGTTTTTATTATGAATCAAACTTTGATGTGCACAGAAACCTCATCTTACCATTATGCTCAGGCTGCATTTAGGCCTGGGGCTTGTTGAGTTTATTTTTTTACTCCCATCACAAGTCAGTCGGCTAATTAGAAATCCTTTGAGCAGAAAGATAAACCTAATGAATCAGTAACGACAGGTATTGTATAATCAGTGTTATCTACATGGTTTGGATTCTGCCCCTGAGCTGTAGTAACACAGCAGTGAAACTGCTCTATAGATTGGAACCTGAATCATAATCCAATATTTACCCAACCTGTATTTCCCTCTAGGTGGTATCCATTTTCCACAATGCAATATATTGTGCATTGTAAGTAAAGATGTGCTTGATTTATGAGAATCCCTGCAACCTCTGTGTTTAGAAGCTGTATAATTAGCCAACACTAACCAGTCATTATCGAAACCTTCTGGAAGACGTTTTCTGCTAACTGTTTATGAGCTGTCAGTCAGAGCTCCTTGCGCCATGCTGCCTCTTTTTGGTCACCTGATCTCCATTTATGTGGTTAAAGACGTTTATGTTGTTAGGGGAACAATTGAACATCTGTGTGTCAAGATGAGCGAGTGCTGAAAGAAGAGAAAATTATGGAGGGGAAAGAGGAAGGTAGGGTCAGGCAAGAGGGTACGGGATCGTTTCCCTCACAAGGACTTCTCTTTTACTGAAGGTATTTCCTGTACAGCTGGAGGAAACTGAGTCAAATGACGTTTAACATCATCAGTCATTTTCCTGGTGGATGCTATATTGAAGAGAAAAGATAGAGTGATTCCTCCTCTAATTTAAGCTTAACTCAATGTTTCTGCACCTTTTCATTAAGGTCACACATTCAGAAATGAATTGTCTTCCTTTATATAGAGCCAGAACACATTTACAGTAGATTTCTAGTATTTAGCTTGTTTATAATGAGGAGGAGGGGATCACCAGTGGAGTCTTCCTGAATAGTTAAATGTGACCTCAAAAATACGGTTAATAGGAGGAAGCATATCAGACCCCTGGGCTATGGTGTGCAGTGTTCACTTGTGTGTGCTGTGTCACAATGACAATGGGAGTTGGAGGAGTTTCCCAAAGGGCTTTCACTTATTTGGCCACGTTCACACTGGAGCCTGAAGTGACCCAAATCCGATTTTCTTTTTCTTTTTTTTTTTTTGCTCATTTGCGACCTGGATCTGACCTTTTCATGGCAGTCTGAACAACACATATCTGATTTTTTTCCAATCCGACCCAGGCTACTTGGCTATGTGGTCCTGAATCTGATACGAATCTGATCTTTTCAAACGCAACCTGTGTCTGAACGGCCAGGTCTGATTCATCCCTCTTGAACGCCATTCATACCTGACAAAGGTCACTATTCTGCGTCTTGCTACGCAGAAGCGGCAAGAAAAACAACAACCATGGCAGATGATGATGCGGAGAGCAGTATTTATGTTTAAACATGTGAAAAGATTTAGTTTTTATGGTTGGAAAAGATCACTAGATGCGCGCCGGCACTACCATCCATGTTTACTTCCTTAAACATAGAGCATGCTGGCCTGTGACGTCATCATGTCCTCTACTGCGCATGAGGGACACTTGCATTGTATGACTGCAGTTCACACAGGAGATCACATACAAGTCGCATATATTTGGAAATATAAATGGCAATGCAAAAAAAAATCGGATTTCACAAAAAAAAATCAGAAATGAGCATCAAGGCCCGCAGTGTGAACGTAGCCTCGATGAGGGGTTTCAGCACCCTTCCCATTTCTATGGATTACATAGAGACAGGACAGCCACAGAGAGCTTTAATCCCTCTGCAGAGTGCTGGTCTGTTAGATCTCCAGACGACCTAACTCAGACACGTTTCTCCTAAAAACCCCACCAGACTAATTAACTTATCAACTAATATTTAAGCCAAAGACTTCTCCTTCACAGCTCTCCTCTTGGGTGGCCATTCAGTCAAACACTAATGCAGAAACATCCAACTAAAACATCATTACTCTTCATCTGCCCTCCCAGCTTTTCAGTATTTGCTTTTGTCGCTCATTTTTTTTTTTGTCTTTTACACATTTCTTAGCTTCTGACAAGTAAATTAATCAAACTATTGTGAGCTACAAGCTGAAACACAGCCAGAGAGAAAGAGCTCCATGACATATGAAGATATAAAGTCTCTGTATTTATGCCACCATTTATTACACAATAAAGAAATAATATATGTATATATATGTGTATATATATGAAGATATAAAGTCTCTGTATTTATGCCACCATTTATTACACAATAAAGAAATAATATATGTATATATATGTGTATATGAAGATATACACACTGAGAAAAGGAACAAAGCAGGATTTAAAATGGAGACAGTGGGATGTTTTTTTTTTTTTAAACCAATTTTTTGTCTCTGCTTAGTTTTAATCACCGTTTTCAATGTGATCGTATCAAATGAGCCTCAAAAAAATGAAGAAACTTTTTATTTTAGGTGTTTGGGAGCAAACTGGCCTGCAGTTTGTTTTAGTCATCATAATAAGACTGTTTCAGGATGGACTAGTTGTGCACATCTCAAAGTAGTGTCATAAAAGATGTCAATTCTGTATGTTTTGATGTCTTTGTTTAGAGAAAGGTAAATACCCTGCGGCAGCTCTGAGAAACCACAGTGTTTGGGAAGGAATCGGTTGCTTGAAAGCTCTGTAATTCTCTGTAATGGCACCTATTCGAGACTTTTTACAGTTCTTGTAACGTAATACGCTGGATTAGTAACACAAACACTGATGGGTGCTCTGTGATGGAGTAATTCTCCTGTTTAACTTGATCTTCACAGCGTCTTTAATTCATTCTTGTGATTTTTGCAAACAATGCAGCCTCTGTCTTTCATCCTTGGAGTTCAGGAGAGCTGTTTTTGTTACACTGCTTATCCTAAAGACTTGTCTTTTTTCGTTACGTGCCTCTATGTGCACCGGGACCATTAGAGGTTTTATGTTTCTCATTTAATCTGCCCGTGTGTTGCAGTGGGGGCACACGTTTATGCTCTTTGTGCATCTTTTACTTTACAGTGTTTGTTAAAGTGCTGGCTCTGCAAAAAGCAAGCTTTTGGTGTGTTTCTCATTTCCTCCAGGGCTTATAAACACTCTGATAAGTAAACAGATCTATGTAATGGTTCAAACTGCTGACTTATAACCGGTGTGTCTTCTGCAGACTGAAGAAGCAGCTGATTCTGACCTCAATATAACTGCATGCAGATTTTAATCCCATTCATGATGCCAGCTAAAACATGAATCTTAGCAATTGACCACCTGTCTCCTCTGTCACCCTTAGGTTGCTCCTATGTCTGGTAGTCTGAACGGGGAGCTCCTCTCATCCTCTGGTCTCGCCGGCTCCACCTGTATCTCCGAGTTGCCGCACTCCCAGAAGCCCATAGTGCGGGCCAGTCTCTCTGTGGCTCAGGCTGACTACCCCGAGCGTCCAGAAGTCGCAGTGAGACGGGAGACTGGCTCCTCTACGCTTCCTCTACCCTTGAAAACTGAGGTGCCGCTCCACCTCTTCAGCACCACCAACCAGCAGCACAAACCGGTCGGGGTGCAGCAGCAGATCCCCACCAAACTGGCAGCAATCAACAGCGGTAAAGGGAAAGGAAGCAAAAGTGGGAAGGCGTCGCATCGCACAGACAGCTCCAGTAAGGAATTGAAAGGGTTGCTCGTTCACTCGCCATTAACTTTGTCACACAAAGCTTAGTGCAATATAAGCCCCAATTGTTTTGTGGAATGTGAAATATTTTAAGGTTGCAAAGATTTCTACAAATCTATTTGTGTTCAGTCCCTTCATTCCGTCCCCCTAACTAGAAAAACGATCTAAAAATAAGTAAAAATGTCCTTAAGTATATTTATCCTTAATTTGAGTAGGTTAATGAGATAGTTTGCCAATGGAATTACTATTTTTACTCTTGAAATAAGATAATTAGATAATATGCACTTGAAATAAGACAGTGCAATTGTGTTTTCCTATTTTAAATGTAAATAGTCTTGTTCCTTTGGCAAAATTACTCTTTTACCTCCTCAATCCAAGAGCAAATGCACTTATTTTAAGATGAAAATGACTTTTCTAGATTTCTATTTTTTCCAGGGTAATGCTTTTAGAAGGTATTTATTTAGCAAATGGACTCCACTTGTTTATTCTGTGGAGTGAAATCAGAGCTAAAAGGAAAATGTCTTCCTAACAGCATTTTTTATGCTCAGTTTTGACAACAGTGAGACCATCAAAGCTGTCCGCCTGTGGGAAACGTGGATCTTTATCTGAGAGGCAAACAAGTTTTGAGTTGTTCTTTTGAAATGAGCCCAAAATATGTTGAAAGGAATGTTATGGGATTCATGTCTGCGCTTGTTTAAAGTCACATTTAGAAACGTGTAGATTTTTCCATCTTTGCTTCCTTTAAGAAGTTTTCTGCTTCCAGTAATAAGGGGAAACCAACCAGCGTAGAAATGCATGAACAGAGCTTCCTTTGTTCATTTCTGAAATTTCAGAAATGACTTCTTCGTCCCTATTAGAGCTCATTAGTTGTCTAAATTAGTTTTCCCCCTTCAAATGATCACAATTACCCTGTGAAAAGCTTCGCTGCTGCAGATTAGCAGTGAAATCCAATACCCCAATCAAACCAGTATTGTATCTTTTGTTTCTCCTCCCACTCCTTTTTGAACCCTCCTCCTCTTCTAGCCTCGGTGGACATGAAGCAGATGCTCCCCCTGAAACTGTCTGCAAGAGAGGACAATGTGCTGAAGGCCAAACGCTCCATCAGCCCCCATCAGCAGCCAGTTCAGTCCCACTCCATGCATCACCACTCAGGTATCTTTCAGTCATAGTAGGACAAACACAGTGATGCTGGGCCTCATTTATTTAAACAAAAAATATAGGTGAAATTCGTATAATACTGTCATTTTTAATTGTTTAAGTCTTTGACTGTAATGCTAGGAGCAGCATCCATTATGGAAACTTTAAATTATTTTCTGTCCCTGAAAGAAGGAGCAGCCTGAAAGGATACAAACAAACAGGATCGTGTGACTTCTTCAGTCAAATGTGAAATATAACTAATTATAAACATATTGCCTAAAATCCTGAGCTGTTAAACACTATTTTACTCCATTGTGAACAAATGATAAGATCATTTTCCTGCAGTGCATCTTAACTTGGTGTTAGTTCTCACGGTTACAGACTGGATTGTACGTTCCTCACCTGGACAAACCGGACCCGCCCTGTGGCATTCCTCTGTAAAGCTCACATTAACGCCAGCCTCGCCCTGTGTAAACACCCATCAGTTCCTCATCCTTCCCTTTGACAAATGGCAGGCTCTTCTGCTTACACAGACCTTTTAATCCCGTTCTCTCACAATGACTCACAATAAAAATCATTGGGAAAATCACATGTGATTAATTTCAGTTTAGGTAGATTACCTGAAATATGCTGAAATAACACTTCATCATTTCTGGATTAATTGTCCTCTAATGTTTTTATTTCTATGATTTTATTATTCAGATCAGCTCAGTCCTCCAGACCAGGCTGGGTTAGACAGCCAGCCCACCTCCTCCATCAGCTCCTCCTTCCCACCTAATGTGCAGAAGCCGCCGGTGGCTGGTGTGCAGCCCTATGCACCCTCCTCTGCACACCTTCTCCACTCTCAGAGTGCTGACCCTATCCTGTCGCCCCCCCACCTGCAGCCACGCAGCCTCAGCCCAAGCGCGCCGCTCCCACTGAACCTCCATGGAACTGGTCACAGCGCAACGCCACCCTACACCATCCCTGCAGAAGAGCTAAACAAGGAGGATGTCATATTTTTCTAAAGAAGCCGCCCAGTCAGAAACATGGGCCATTTAAAGGAGAACCTTAGTTTTTCTATCAGTACACACACCGCTTTATACAGAGAATTGTCCAACTTTTTATTCAGTTACCGATTTTTAACCTTACTACTTCACACTTTTATCCAAACTGCCTGTAAAGTTTATTTAATTTTTAGTGATACTTGCTTAAAACATTGGATGCCAACACATCATCAAAGGAGTCCAGCGCTGAGTTCTTATTTTTATCATTTTTATTCATCCCAAAGGCACAAACAGGATCTGACTGAAAGGAGCACTATGAAGGAGCATGTTTTTTTTTGTTTTTTTTGTCTTTTCCCAACTAGGAGTAAAAATCAATGAAGGAGAAGCGGTAAAATCAGAACTCCATAATGAAGTCATCCAGCTCTGCTTGAAGTTTCATTTGCACAAAAAAAAAAAAAAAAAACCCTTCCAAAAAAAATGTAAGGATAATTTAATGGGAAAAACTTTGTAAAAAGTTAATTGTACAGCTTTGAAGATAGTAATGCTCCATTGCAATTTTTGATGCTTGTCTTAATTGTGCTTAAAAAAAAAGTGTTGAATTGTTGATTTTCATCAACATTGTGGCTATTTTTCAAATCTCACTGTAATATTAAACCGTGTCAGCTAAGGGAGGGTTTATTCTTTAAGCAACGTTTGTAAATACGTGAAACAACTTGAGGAAGGCCTTACTGAAGCGAAATGCTGTTCCTGGTTTTAATGATAAATAATCAGCTAATCCTCTTCTGCTTTGGTCGAAATGCCTTCTATAATTGTTCTTTTTACATACGGCAAATTTTCAAAATACGGTTGGTTTGCTTTGCAGGTTAGGTAAAAGGCCTCACCAAGAATTAAAAAAGAAAAACTCTTCTTGTCTTTGTGTTGCCAGTTATATCGGACCTCTAGTCTGCTTTCCAGACTGAATATCTTTGTGCTGCTTTTCATGCTGTGTCTGCTTCCTGGATGGCTTTTCAAAAGGGAAAGGTTCATCACAGACAGACAATGACCAACCAAATAAATACACAAACATCAATCTTACAGTGAAATGAATATGTCCGCAAGGCAGAGATGCACTGATTTAAGATTTTGTGACCAGTTTCTAAAAGTTTGCACCAAAAATAATTTCTGTTTAAGAACTGAAATAGAAGACATTTAGGAACACTGGAATGTGTGGCCTTATTGCGACGCGTCTTTAATTTATTATGAAGGAAGCTGAGGCATGAACGCAGCATTTCTGAGGGATCAGTTGCTGTGAAACAAAATTTTCCTGTTTCAGAATAAAAATAAATGATCAAGGAGGGTAACTGTAGAAAGTCTTGTTAGCATTTACTCTCTTTAATTCAGATTTTTACAAATGCTGCAGATAATAATCCAGCGTTTCTTAAAATGATAAACAGATGTACCTCCTTCAGTGCACTGAATATGTCCCCAAGTCCTGCTCTCTCTCACTTTTTTGCAGCTGGAACACATTTTTCAACTTGTCTGAAGAATGTTTCCTTTCATTAGCTTTTTGCATTTCTGCTCTCTCAGATTAAGTATCAAAACTCAAACATGAGTTATCTTATTAACAAAATCTACACTGTAGAGTGTTTTTGAGAGAAAGACTTGGTGACATTAACAGTTGATGATTTTAGCAGATTGGAAAATAAAGCTGGTTAACAAATCAGGAGTCAAGGCAGATTAAGATGACAGAGATCAGTCATTTCTGGACTTCTTGGTGCATCTCTGTTTTTTGGAAACATATTTTAAAAGAACAGCATCAGTAGATGCTTGTGTTTGAAGGTTCTCCTTATTCATTTCAAGTCTGTGGACCAGATTGGTACTTTAAAGTTTTAAAGTCCTGTAGCCAGTTATTGTTGTTAAAGAAATGGGTTTCAAGGTTTGTTTTTCGGTGTGAATCATGGAAAGGTTAAAACTCACATTGGTGGTTTCACTGCCAATCGATCATTTTTCATCTAATGGAGCTTTTCATGTTAAAAAAAAAATACAGATGAAGTCCATTTGTCTTAACTTGAAAAGAAGATGTTAAGCTTTACTGCATTTTTTGTACCCTGAAGACTGAAACTAAGCTCACAATGTTAACACCATTTTCTTTTTTTTTTGTATCATGAATATTTCTGTACATATGTTTATGATCTATGGCATTTGCTGCCCTCCTTTTGCTTAATTTGTCATGAAGCTGGATGTGAAAGCCAAGCAGAAGTCTGTTTCTGTATGGTGTGTATCACGGTTCAGTGCACCTGTGGACACTCTAGGCAGTTAGTGAAACCATAATCATTTGTTGCTGTAATTTAACTGAAACCGAAGGCAGGTTTTTTTGGTTCTATCTCCTCACATTTGTTTATGTTGTTGAATTGAAGTCCGTGTCTACTGTGTGTTGGCTCTCTGGTACGACTCACGACCGAGGTTTCACCGAGGTTATGCATCAGCTAAAAATATAATTGTCTTATTTTCTTAGTGGTGTAAACCAAAGACACATTTGGCTGGCTCTGTTCCACTCTGTCGGCTTACATGAAGGGTTAAAGACTCTGCTGGATGTGTGGTTATCCACAAGGTGTATTTACTCGCATATATATAAAAAAAACCTCCAGTGAGTGTCCATAACGATTGTTTACAACATTTTGTTGTCCGGCTCACATCCTGCCTTAGGTTACCGGTAGTTTGTTTGGCCTCCTCTGCCAGATCACTCTTCATGTAGTAGATGTGTTATAAACCAGTTGGATGTCAGTGGGTTCAGTAGGCATGGGCTGGAAAGATTTTCTCACATTATATCCTGGAAAATGGTTAAATATGTTTTTATGGCTGATTGCTTCTATAATCATTAGCATTATATACTTTGCTTTGATACAAAGATGAAAAAACTTAATGTTAGTTTCCAATTGCTAGCTACACTGCAAGATAGCCATATTTTGCTGTTCTGCTCATTATAAAAAAAAAAAAAAGCATTACAAGCTGCTCAGAGAATCAACCTTAACTTAAAAACATTACATTGGTAGCTTCCCAACAGCGTAAAAAAAAAAAAAGGCATTTTCTTAATATAAATGATAGGTGGCTCTCTTTGTGGTTTTTATTTTTTTAAAGAATTTTTCTCTTTTTTTGTTGTTGAAAGCATCACTTTCAGCACACTAATAGGTGATCAGCATTATGCTATGCTATTTACTGCTAGAGGAAACTATAAGCTGTTTAAAGGTACGATGTGACGTTTTAGTCTATCTTTTTAAAACGGTTCAACCAGAACCCGGCCCATGTCTACTGTCCAGAACTCCACTACTATGACGTGATTTCTCTCTAAAAAAAACAAAACAAAAACAAAACAAAAAAAACGCTTGTTTATAGATGTATGTTTGTGCATTTTAGACAAAAGGAACCAATTTCCAAGCTCATTTAAACTTTCAAGGGCCTCATCCCTGATTTTATTTTTGGCCAAAACCAGCTTATAAACAGCAGCTCATGGTCTGTGTTGTGATGACAGAGATGGGATGTTTTTGTCAAATGTTTCTTCATAATGAAATAATATTAATGGGTACGTTTTTTAACTCTGAAGCCGACAGATAAACTTGTGTAAGAGCACTTTAGCTTTGCTCAACCTAAGCGGGTTAGAGGCTCCCAGCAGGTGGCGCTGTTCTGATCAAATGAAGTCTTAAAAGTTGCATCGCTGCACTCGAACGCTCATTATGCTGTTGGTCGCATCACTGTGGTTTTTTTTTTTTTCTCTCTGTCTGTGCTACAAAGCAGAATAAGCATTTTAATCTGTTGATGCACTCTCGTTGGACCTTTTTAATGTGTAAATAATCACGCAAAAATATTTTATTTCCTCTGCCAATTTTTACACTAGTCACTTTGGATAGTAGCATACTTGAAGGGTAAAATAAATGATTATGATGTCTGTTGTTTTCTGTGAACGTGTTTGTATCAATTCTTATGACGTCTGTAGCACACGGCTAAAAATGATTTTTGTACCTTTTTTTTTGTCTTTTCACTGCGTCACATTAGAGACCTGTGAGCACAAACTGCTGCCTTAGACACACCTAGTAATAAAAAGAAATCAAATTAATATTTTTGTCTGATTTATTCTATTTGCGTGGAAGGTGGGGATTAGAGTGCCCTCTTGTGGTGACCCGAGACTATGACATCTTTCTTTAACTACTTCTACACAACATAACATTGAATTTTTCTTAAGCAAAAATGCTAATATAAGGTTAAAGTTCAGGTTGTTAAAGAGGGAAATAAAAGAAATGCTTCTCCAACCTACTTCTGACCTTTTCTTGTGTTTTAAAACATTTCAAATTATTACACCAATAGTTCACTCTGGTAGCATGTATAGATTTTCTAAAAATGATTGCGTCATTCTTGCAGGTTAGTTGTTTTATTTTTGTTTAATGTTTAACACTGTTTTTGCTGAGTTTTTTGGTAAATAAAGCCCTACTTTGTGTATTTACCATAACACCACGCTACAATAGGTAAAACATTGCACATGTGCATAACTGGCAGCGAAGCCAGAAAGTCTGGAGCTCTCACTGGAGTTGTGAAGATAATAAAGAAAAGTCCAAGATGTGTGGAAAAAAAACAAGCATAAAAAGATTCCAGAAGGGAGGCGACTCGAATAACGCTTTAACGAGTTAAAGCTGTGGAGGAATTCAGCTGTTGTTGTGAGTAAATGTATTTTTTCATACTAGTGTTGGCAATAGTATGTTAACTTTTTAGCCTGAAGTACAAACATTATACACTGATTAATTTAAATGCACAATAGGGGAAAAGTTTTCTGTCATATAGATGAATATAGATTAAAGTTCCGATTCTATTCCCGTCTCATCAACAATCCACTTAACAGGAAATAAAAATGTAATTTAAACTATTTCTTAATTCTTTTTCCTTGCCAGGATTCATCAGATCTTGGGAGTACTGCGTTGGTCTTGGTCCACGCTGATCGGTCACTTTGGCTACGTTCACACTGCAGGCCTTGATGCTCAATTCCGTTTTTTTTGCGTGCGACTTCTATGTGATCTCCTGTGTGAACTGCAGTTAAACAACACGTGTCCCACATGCGCATTAGAGGACGCAATGATGTCACAGGCCAGCGTGCTCTTTTTTTCCGGACGTAAACTTGGATGGTAGTACCGGCGCGCATCTAGCGGTCTTTTCCAACCATGAAAACACAATCTTTTCAATATGGTTAAACATGAATGCTGCTCTCTGCATTATCATCCACCATGGTTGTTGTTTTTCTTGCCGCTTCTGCGTAGCAAGACGCATAATAGTGACGTTTGTCGGGTATCAGTGACATTGGCCTGGCCGTTCACACACAGGTCGCGTTTGAAAAGATCAGATTCGTATCGGATTCAGAACCACATAGCCAAGTGGGTCGCATTGGAAAAAAAATCGGATCTGTGTTGTTCAGACTGCCATGAAAAGATCAAATCCAGGTCGCATATGGGCAAAAAAATTGGATTTAGGTCACTTCAGGCTGCAGGGTGAACGTAGCCTTTGTCGCGAGGCGTTGCAGGTTGGTCAGGCTCTATTAACTTGCTGCATCAATTGTCCTCTGACTTTCTGATAGTTCAGCATCAATGCCACCATCTGTTCCTGTCTGCTCACTGCTCCCGGTGCAGGAATTCTATTTAGGCTCAAAAAAAGGACTATCAGGGTGGACTCTAGGTGTATATTACCAATAACTTTATCATGATAAATCATTATGTTATTTTGGGAGGTTTTTCCATACATGCATACAATGGCTATGCCCCAATTTAACCTTAAATACACACTACATTACTGTTTATACCAACTAGATGCTTCATAAAAATGCCGTTTTCACTCTTTAGGGTTATACGGTTAACTTTTATTTTTTTGTGGGATTAAGCTCCATTTGCTAAATGCCAGAATGAGAATTTTTTTAATATCAGTTTGTCAAAATCCATCATTTAGCACCCGCTATGATAACTGTATCTTTAAACGATTTGCGGAAGCCTTATTGTATTTGAAGCCTGCCTAAGGATATAAAGTAATCTCTTAAATGCTTTAACCAATATATCAGGAAGAGAGCTGTGGAGCTCCAAAAGTAAAACAAGGACTCTGTAAGGTTAAAACTCCAAAGATGACCAGATCAGACAACATGTGACGCTCTCAGCATCTCTGCATAAAACTCTAGGTCCAATCTTCCATCTCCTTCGTAGGAAAAGGTGTCCAAAGCTAAAATAAAATTTCACAGGAAATATAATTTGCAAGAATTCATTAATGCCAAGTCTGGCTTCCAAGGTTTGTTTCTCACGTGGGTAGTTTTCATTCAATATGCAGTGGAGCCTTTCCGCTGAGCTAAGGTTACTGGAACATATAATCCTGCTTGATTATCGGGCTTTTATTAACTGCTCATCAAAATAATCCTGACCACCCAATCAGCTGGCTGACTAACCATTTCTCAGTGTCTAGGAGGTGCAACAGGGGCGTTATGGACCCCGTGTTTAGACGATCTAATAACAGCTTACCCTCAGACAAAGCTCTATTTCTAGGCGCTGTGGTTGTGGCCCTTCAATCCCTCTCCAG